TTTTAGTATGTCTATCCTTCTTCAGCCTGTTAATCGGAAGGACATCTCTAGTCTGATCAAGCTGATTTTTGGTCAAAACATAAAGGACATTTGGTTCTTCAATCTGGACGGTTGGTTTTTTATTTTAACGGTTGAGTTTGGAGTTATACAGCCTGCATTTTAGGTGCTTTGTTGGTCATTTTACTCCATCTTTTGGTAACTGTTTTGTGTATTTTAGTTTGTTAGAGTTGTGATAAAGTTCTAAATTTGTATGGAATATTTTTGGTGGATTGTGGCTATTGTAAACACTTTTATGATAATGGATTTAAGTGGATCATTTGATGTCATGGTTTTTAATCTCTTCACGTTGAGGAGATTTTTCCACATAAAATTATTTGTGTCTCTTGTGAATTTGATTGTTGTTTTCAAGCATATTTACTCAAGATTTTGCTTCTCATAGATTCATTCAAGTAGGAAATATTTTGTTAGTGCATTGTTTCCTTTCATAAAATTCTACCTAAAATTCTTGTTAATAGACTAAAAAAGCACATGGACCAACTCATCTCCCCTAACCAGTGTAGCTTCATCCTAGGAAGACACAACACGGATGTGGTAATTGCTGAAGAAGTGATCCAATTTATGAGAACCAAGAAGGAGAAGAAAGGATGGTTGGTAATAAAGGTTGACTTAGAGAAAGCATATGATCATATCAATTGAGGGTTTCTAAAAGACACTTTGAATGAGCTAGGGTTGAATCCTCATTTCCTTGACTTGATTATGAACTGTGTTTCAACAACTTCTATGCAAGTGTTTTGGAATGGAAATGTGACAGAGACTTTTAAACCCTCGAGAGGTATATGTCAAGAAGACCATTTTGTCTTTGTACCTCTTTGTTCTTTGTGTAGAAAGATTAATACATTGTATCAAGTTTACTATCTCAAACAAGAAATGAAACCCAATTAAGCTTAGAAATAGAGGCCCTACCATCTCGCACTTATTCTTTACAGATGACCTCATGCTCTTTGTAGAGGCTTTTATGGAGCAAGCCAAAACTGTCTCGGATTGTTTAAGTCCCTTATGTACTTATTCTAGCCCAAAAGTCAACAAGGAAAAAAGGAGGATTTTTTCTCTAAAACTGTCAATCACTATAGGTCCAAGCAAATTAGTAAGGAATTAGGTTTTTCAACCACTTGTGACTTGGGGAAGTACCTAGGAGTTCTATATCATGGAAGAGTGAAGAAACGATCTTATTTTCATATGCTAACATGAGTTCATAATTGGTTGAGTGCTGGGAAGTCAAAAACTCTTTCCTTTGCAGGTAGGCTAACCATGACTCAATCTGTTCCTAATGCCTTGCCATCCTTTTCTATGTAATCAGTTGGGTTGCCTCTTGGCCTCTGTGATGATCTAGAAAAGTTGAGTCGTGGATTCCTATTGGGAAGTGATAGCAATAAAAAAAATTACACCCAGTGGGTTGGGAAATAGTCTACAAGGCAAATGGTGATGATGGTCTTAGGTTAAGGAATCTTAGCAATAATAATTCCACATGCATGATGAAAGTGGGCTTTGGTCCGATTTCAATGCTAGATAAACTATAAGTTAGAGTAATTAGAAACAATTATGGTTGTGAAGAGAAATTAATTAGTGGGACTCATTCAGGACCCATATGGGACCCATTGTGAACTGACCAATTGCGACCTACCACATCAAGGTTGTGAGAGAAAGTTTATGAGAGAGAATTATTGGTGTAGTATTATTCATTTAAGGGGGACATTACTATGATGGTTAGGATTAAAACACTGGAATTTCTCTAAACAACATCTTTACTCTCCAAATCTAGATTGAAACAGAGTGTACGAGAGGAAGTGTAAACAGGGTGACAATGTCTGAGCAGAGAGTAGGTTAAGCTAAATGTTAATGGAGCAGGTCCAACTGAGGAAGGGTATACAGGTTGTGGAGGCTTGTGTCATGATAGTACAAGATCTTGGGTGACAAGTTTCATGAAAGGGCTAGGTGCAGGATCTGTGTTAGAAGTTGAACTACATGGAATATATTTTAGCAGGTTTATAACTGACTTGGGATGTTGGTTTTCTAAAGATAGAAGTGGAGTCAAACTCATAGATAGCAATCGATCTTATAATGAAGGTTTGTTCCCCATCTCATTCATGTTATAGGCTTCTTGTGAAAATCCATTCAGTATTGGAGCAAGAATGGGAGATAAGGATGAAACATGCTTTTAGAGAGAGTAACCATGCAGCTGATTAGCTTGCACATGGAGCCACGAGGACTAATAGAGAGACTCTTATTTTGAGATAGCCACCACAAGGTTTATCATAGGTGTTGGAGTCAGATAGTAGAAGATTTATTTGCCCTAGTTCAGTTTAGTCGTTTGTTTTTTCCCTTTCCTTTGTACCCAAAAGAAAAAAAACCCTTGTTAACAGTCAAAAGTGGGTTTAAGGATTAACTAGTGAAATTGTCAATGTAAAGCTTTGAGTTATCATTCTTCTCACTCTAACCAACTTCTCACCACTTCTAAACCTGTAAAACAACATAAGAATAATCAGAAGCTTGGCTGGTAGGGGGGCTTCGTTGTGTGGGCTCTTCGATGCTCTAGTCAACAATGATAAGTTAGGTATGTTCTTAATGAGCTGATTGAAAGGTTCCAAGGCAAGACCTTTGCCTTGAAACTTACTAATGGAGAATATGAATAAGAGATAAGGTTCTTTGTTATATCCAATTATGTTTTAGAGAAAATCAATAATAGTGAATAATGCACTTACTTGAGAAGATGCAACCCTTTTACTTTATATAATATTATGGTTTTTCGAGCATGTGGTTCAATGGGCGAGCAACATGTGGCATTCTATAACCATTTAGGGTTCGCTTGCCAATGCTTTCCTTGCCACTTCATCAATTGTAGGAACAATTTTGCCATCAACAAAAACCCTAAAAGGCATTGAACCATAATACTACACATATATGGCTTAGGATTGGAGTCTTGTTCCATGTGGAGTATAAGTGAAAAGATTAAGGAGAATATATTAGCTCCTTTTCCACGCCAGACGAGAATCAACACAGTCAACTACAACGAGCACATAATTAGTATTAACTCTTGTAATCAAGGGCGGATGCTACTCCATGGCCCACCCTCAAATTTAAAAAAAAAAAATATTAATATATACAATTTCTAGATTTTGGTCTACCCTAACAAAAATATTAATGGACAAAAATATTAATGTGTAATTAGTTTCTATTTTGGTCAATCTTAACATAAATTCTTGGATCTGCCACTGCTTGTAATGCAACTAGGTTGTGTATCCTTGGTCACCCATCACGCTAAGGATGACTCCCTTACCATATGACCATTTTAAGATTTTTAGTTTCTCATGACACGTGAGGGCATACGAAGGTATGGCGATTTTTGGCTCATAACAAAACTCACTTATGGGCTATGGCGGAAAACTAACCCAATCAACAGAGAAAAATGAAAAACAAGTGACGAGGAAGTGAAATAAGTTGGTGTATTGTTGTTTAATGATGTTTTCACAAGGAAGTTGCATATTTGGTGGTTGTTTCTGTCAGTATCATGTATCAATAAAACTTGCGAGTTAATAAACAACTAATCAAAGTAGTTGAAATTTGAGCTTATACGATTCATAAGTGTTTGGAATTATTTGTAATATGTTGAACTGTGGATAACTAAATTATACTACATATATTAGGTATTATAAAATGCATAAATTTAAGAAACAAATAATTTCGTTGAAAGAAGTTAAAATTTAATTGATAATAGGGTTTTATTAGATAATAAATGATAGGTCCATAACATCACTCTATTAAAAAAATGACTGATCAACTATTAAATAAACAAATACTAAATTTAAAATTAATCAAAAGAATACAAATTTTAAATTTTAGAAAAATGTTAAGCCCACAACCCAATTTCACAATCTCTGATATGATAGCTCATAATTGATCAGCTCACAAATGAGTCTCATCTACTTGCTATAGGTCCTTGTGAGATTGGGTTATGGACTTAGCATTACTATAAATTTTAAAACAAGAATAGTATTACACCAACAACTATTTCTCACAAACTTTTTCTTATAATCCAGACGTGATAGCTCGCAATTAATTAGTGGGACCAATGTAGGACTCATGTGAGACCCGTTGTGAATTGACTAATTATGAGCTGTCACATCAGGTTTGTGAGAAAGGGTTGTTGATATAGTATTATTCTTAAAACAATAAAGTTAAGTTAATAATCTTCTCTCACAACTTTCTCTCGTCATTGGTTAGCTCGTAGATAGGTAGACGGTACTCATACAATCAAACAGAACCCATTTTGTGAATTGACTAATGATAAGTTGCTACGTTGAAGGTTGTAAGAGAAAGTGGTAAAATTAGATTGTGATCTAATATCACTCTTTTGAAAACAGGATAACACTAGTTTGGTCACATAATTTTTTAATTTTGGTCATATAATTTTTTTTAATTATGAGTGGGTGGCAGGTATTGAATGAAATGACAATTATTTTAATCATCATTTGTCTTTTATTCTTTTATGCACTTTGGACACACATTTGATAACTCTAATGTAATGAGTCTAAGTATTCTGGAGCTCAATGTGGATATAGCTTATTCAATTTTGAACAAGGGAATCACAGTAAATTAGTGTTTGTTGTGTTCTTGGTTGATCTCTATGACTTGGTAGATAAAAAATAATACAGTTATCGAAAGATGCGTATTGAATTCGTACACCAAATAACGTGACACAATCCTAACCATCGATTAATTATATTAATCAATTGTCAGAATTTTATCATATTATTTGATACATAAATTTGGTACGCTTTTCTCCGTAAGTGTAGTATTACTATTTCGTAGAGTTAGGTGTGTGTTTAGACCTCAAGTATAACAATTATTATTGATTGGATAAGTAGAATAAGTTTGAAAATCTTTTAAACGAAATGAGACGTAACTGAAATTCAAAAATTCATCATACTGGGTCTGGGGGAATTTATCAACAAACTATCAAAACCAAACCAAACCAAACCAACTACCCTCAATTGGCGTACATCACAAAGCCAATTTTAACATTTTTTTAAACAAAAATAAATTAAAAATCACACAAACCATCGGACATTCCCACACTCTACTTCCAATTCACCCAATGGATCAAGAGAAACTCTCCGACCGTGTTCTTATTAACGGCACGGTAGTCCGCGTCACCTTAACGGCTGACGGAAAGCTCCAGTGGACGGAAGGGTTTCAGCGGACGTTGACTCTGGAGAAGGAGGTCCTCGGTTTCGCCGTGGACAGCAATAAAATTAAAATCAGAGCTGTTATAGAGAACGAGAATGGAATCTGCTGCGGCGGGAGCAGTGGTGGTTTGGTGAGGAAGGATTTCGTTTTCGAGCCTTTGTCACAAGAGTCTCAAAGACTTTGGTGCCAAAAGCTCCGTGAATATCTTGATTCTCTCGGTAAGTTCAGTAGAATGTTGTTTTAGTTGTTTATTTAGATTTATGCCTTATGTTTTTTTTGTTTTTGTGATAGGTCGGCCGAAGAGGCTGTTTATTTTTATGAATCCGTTTGGTGGGAAGAAAACTGCATCAAAGATTTTTCTGGATAATGTGAAACCGCTGTTGGAGGATGCTGATATCCAATTCACATTGGAAGGTTTTTTTATTTTTTTATTTTTTTATTTTTTAACTCTATATGGTTTGAATTGATGGTGAATATGCTTTTTATATGGTAAATTTGGTTATCAGAGACTACACGACAACTTTATGCGAAGGATGTTGCTAAAAGGCTGGATCTTTCAAAGTATGATGGTATAGTTTGTGTCAGTGGTGATGGTATTCTTGTTGAGGTTAGTTTGATTTGTGTTTGAGCTTTGGGGTGGGTTGTGTGCTTAAAATTAATGCATGGAAGACAATATCTAGTTTGTAAATTCGCTTAAACTGTTGAAAAACTTATATTTTATTGAAAACTTTGAAATATTAAGGAATCTCATTTTTTGACTGCCACATTTATAGTTCTCTCCAAGAATATTAAGCATTCGACTGGAAGTGTTTCCCGATAGATTGGATTTATAATATTCATCCCACCTTAAACACCTTGACTACTGAGCCTTACAATTGAGAAAGAAATTGTTATCATACTGGCAAGGCTTTTATTGTAGAAAGTCCTCTGGTTTTGACTGTATATTTATTGGGATTTTCTGTTATGCATCTTTGTAATTTCTATTCCATGTCTTTCTAACAAGTGTTGCTCTTATTAGTAGGTGGTAAATGGACTACTTGAGAGAGAGGATTGGAGTGCTGCGATAAAAATGCCCCTTGGAGTGATTCCTGCAGGTTTCTTTCCTTCATATTTAATTCTTGTTTGATGTTAATTCTTTTCAATTTTGTCGGTCAGTTAGCATCGAAAGTATATGGTGTTAACGTACAATGGATGGAATAGTGTATTAAATTCATGGCAATGAACATTTTCTACATTCCAGGTCTATGCATTGACATATAGTGTATAGGAAATCTGAAAAATGGAAACTTGATATAGTTTTGTGTTTTTGTGATAAGCTATGGTGACAACTATTGCAAGAGGAAACAGGAAGTTCCTTCTGTGGACTGGTAGGAAATCATTGGGTTTCAGTGCATTAGAAGTGATGGATATTTGAATACAAACAGTTGTTATAATAATTGTTGCTGAGGGTCGGTTCTATATTGGAAGACACTTTTGTGCCCTGACCGGTGATCTTATGTGTGAACCACTGACTTCCTGTAAACATCTTTGCTTGCCAATTTGTTTTCATCATTTTGTGAAGCCCAGTTATCTGGTCCTTCAGGTAGTGAATTTCATATTTACACATTCCTTTCCTACCATTTCCTGCATGCTTAATTGCTTATCATGGTCACGGATAATTTGAATTCTTTTCCTTAAAAACTAATGGCAGTATCTTATTGCAGTAAACATTGTTTTATCTTTTGTCTGGTGAATTAGACATTTTGGTGACTTCTTCCAATACTTTGATTTGTGATCAAGGTTTTATGGATGCAGGTACAGGAAATGGCATGGTGAAATCTCTATTGGATTCCGTTGGTGAACCCTGTAAAGCGTCTAATGCCACTCTAGCTATTATTCGAGGTTACACATGGTGTCTATTAGTATTTTGTGTTTGAATACGTATATTGTGCCTTTTCATGCCTGGTAAATGTAGATTATTTTATCATTGATTTTTACTTAAATGATACTTACTGGCAGGCCATAAGCATTCATTGGATGTAGCTACTATCTTACAAGGCGAGACCAGATTTTATAGTGTCTTGATGCTTGCTTGGGGTATGCAAATAATTCACCTATTATTGCTTGATTATTAGTTGAACGCTACTTTCCAGTGACATGTTTCTGGATTCTTTACAGGCTTAAGTTTGAGAAAACAATTGAGGTTTTAACTATGGCACTAAGCTTTAATATGTTCATCTGTTACGAAAAGATTTTTTCTTTTTTTTTTTTTTGGTCAGGTTTGGTGGCAGATATAGACATTGAATCTGAGAAATATAGATGGATGGGCAGTGCTCGCATTGATTTTTACGTATGTTCTTATTCATTACTACACATATATACAATGTTTTAGAGAAACCATAATGAGGTCATCAAATCTACCATTCTTATATATGATTAGAGTTAGTATCTTCGTAAACCTTATCATTGTTGGAAAATGACTGAATGGTAGTTTACTACAGATAAATGATTAGCTTGTAAAACTTTTGTAATGCTCATATATGGCGTAATTTTTTCTTCTTTTTTTTTTTTTTTTTTTTTTTTTTTTTTTTTTTTTTTTTTTTTTTTTTTTTTTTTTTTTTTTTTTTTTTTTTTTTCTGGTTTTACTTGAAGACAGATTTGATGTCTATTTTATGTTGTCAAACCACCTGATATTGATTTTCTTTTTCATTCTCGTATAGGCTCTCCAGAGAATATTGCGTTTGAGGCAATATATGGACTGTTTTCTTTTGTGCTGCACCTGGTTTTGAAGATTATGGGGAACCACCAGTTACAATGGCGAATCATTATGAAAAGGATGTCAGCAATCCCAGCCAAGAGCAACCCATTAAAGCTAGGCAGTATGGCTACCAAGGGCCAGCTGTTAGTTTAGAGAATCTAGGTTGGAGGACAATTAATGGACCATTTGTTTCAGTTTGGCTTCATAATGTACCATGGGGAGGTGAAGACACAATGGCTGCTCCTGATGCAAAGGTTAGTTTATTTTGCCTGTTGGGAAACTGCACCTTGCCTCTCCTTTTCCTCTTTCATCTCCTTTCTTTTGTGGCTTACTATTTGTATTTGTCATAAACCCATGTGCTCGTGCACATGGTGCAAGTGGTAGGTTCATCCCATGATCACATGTTCTTTTGGTAATATATACTGGTAAAATGAAATGAAATTGATAAAAAAATTCTGATGAGGTTCATTTTTTTTCTTACTTTTGAACAAGAATACATAATTTGGTTTAAAAGTAATGAGACAACTGGTATTTGCTAAAAGCGATAGTAGAGGATTGCTTTTATCTTTCTTTGGACGTGAATGGACTTTACTAAATGTCTGATATATATATAGATATATCACATTTTTGTATGCTATTTACAAGCATAGCTGACATTTCTTGCATTTGCATGGACTGTTTGTGCAGTTCTCGGATGGTTATTTGGACCTGATTCTTATTAGGGATTGCCCAAAGCTCGATTTACTAAAATTAATGACACAGTTGAGCAATGGAGGTCATATCAAATCAAATTATGTACAGTACCTGAAGGTGAGTTCATACACATGACAATCAATCACTTATGGTTGTATTGCTTTTTTTTTTTTTTTTTTTTTATCCCACCACCGCCACTGTTGTTGAAAGTTCTAAAAAAATTATATATCCAGATTGCTTGGCTGAATGTTTCAAACAAAACAAAAATGTTTATCTTCTGTTTTTAACATTTCTATTGACATTATAACATCTTAGTCATGAATCTCATATTAATTCCCTACATCTTGTAATAAATTACAGGTTAAAGCATTCATCCTAGAGCCGGGTACATGCACACATGACCCAACTAGAGAAGGAATTATAGACTCAGACGGTGAGGTACTGGCCAGAGGAAAAGGAACATATTTGTGTGACCAGAAGACACTAATGGCCTATGATAAGCTACAAATAACGTTGGATCAAGGTTTAGCTACTTTGTTTTCCCCTGTGTAGAACGTGAATCTTAGTTTTACATTAATCTGACTTTAACATGGATATTAACCACTGAAATATATTCATGGATTGATTATTTATTTTTGACTGTATATAACTAGGGAAGACAAATAAGGGAATTGAAAGGAGAAAAAAAAAGTAGCCTGTTGATTGCTAAGAGAGCTTTTCAATTGTAAGTGATCATTTCAAGGCAATGTGCTGTTCATCTTATCTTTATTCTCTGAAAACTATGATTTTTGAAGTTTGTTTTTAGAATAGATTTATAATAATGTAACTGACTGCTCTAGGAAAAAAAAAAATATATGTGCTTGAGCTGGATGGAAAAGTGGGTCGGTTTGTGACCATAATTGAAACTTGGCTTAGAGTTTTAACTTGAATGCTTCTTTTAAGTGAGCTTAAATAACAATTTATCAGCTTGATTAGACTGTCTGAAAACTCCATGTTGGTGGTAATTAAGAACTGTAGAAATACAATTTCAAGTAAATCTTTAAATGGAGAGGCAGTGGGAAATTGGCATGGTTTGAGGATATTGCACTTGATATTTTGCAGGGATATTGGCTTCTCGGAGGTGTTGTCATGATTCAGTTTCACTATAACAATACAATCTCTTAGTTTGAGTAAAGCATTGGAGTTAACGATATTTTCCCACCTAAGGGTTGACCTAAAGACACTTTTCCACGTGAAAAGTTTCAAATCGACAACAATCAACTTAGTAAAATCCGATAACTGACAAGGTATAAACAGTATAAAGACGAAAATACTCTTTTCTTGCCTTCTTGTTTATCTTTTAACAAATTGAAGTGAACCCCTTTAAAAATTACACTAAACCAAAATTTGGAAAATATAGAACTTAAATTAATATTATAGAAGGTTTTAATAATATAGTAGAATGAGATTTAAGAAAATGTTGGTTGTTAATTATCTCACATTCATTCATTGTATGAAGGCAATAGTCTATGGCGGCTGCCACTAGAAGACGGCAGGACGCGGTGCGGCGACGCGTTGCCCACGTCTCAACACTCAGAAAATTCGTCACGTTTACGTTTTTGTTTGTTTTGTCAATCGGTCAATCCTTTCCTTTTTTGTTTGTCGCCATCACACTCATGCGTGTATTTATTAAATCAATAACAATAAATCATGCCAAAACTCTCTATTTATTAAATCAATAACAATAAATCATGCCAAAACTCTCTATTTATTAAATTAATAACAATAAATCATGTCTAAATGGGGATTCCCCATCTCCCTATTTGGCCAAATAAGCATTGAAATCCAAACTGGGATAGGAGATGGGGGAGGCCTCTTCTCCTTGGAACCACCCCATTTATAGGTAATCGGTTTCGGGTACCCTGCATCTTTTGAAGGAATCAGAATCGGAATTAGAATTATAATCGGTCAATTCCTAAGATTTGGAATCAGAACCGAAACTAGCCAGTTCCAGTTCCTAGAAATCTAAAATCGGAACCTAAATCATAAGTTCTAATTTTGTGATAAATTTTAATTACCCCTACTTTTTGAAAAATTACAAATACACCCCAAAAAATTACAAAAATTATAATTTAGTCTTGGTTCCTATCCGAGTACCCGAACCTTGGTTCCAATTTCGGTTCTCGGTTTCTATAGTATAGGAATCAGAACCAGACTTGGGAATTCTCGGTTCCAATTTTCCAGAATCGGAACCGACCCCATTTCCAATTTCCAATGCCAGCACTATAGGAACCGAAACTGGACTTGAGAATTCTTGGTTCACAATTTTCTAGAATCAGAACAGAACCCTAAAGGGATCGATTTCGATTCTGGTTTTACCCTTTACCCATACTCACCCCTAGCCCCATCCCTATCCCTAAATAACATAAATCAATATCCATTCCATGGTAATTATTTATAAGTGTTATGCCTAAAAAATTAGGGCTAACGTTAGTCTATGTTAGTGGGTACCAATTAGAGTTCAAAAAGGCTTTGTACCACCTAGAAGTTGCCATGTCACTCCATGACAGAAAGAATATGACTATCATCAACTTGACATATTTAGGTTTTGTCTATGAGTGATAGAGGGTCACACACCTGTCCAAACCCCAAGTAATTTGAAGATATTTCATAAGTTATCAGTCAATGGGAGGCAAGGAATGACTTGCACGATACCTACCCACTTGCAAATTTGTAATAATTATCTTGAATTCCTCAACTATAAATAGAATATTCTCCCTCTCATTTTCATAATTCTAATCTTGAACCCTCATTCTGATTGTAATATTTATTTTTCGAGCGAAGATAACCCAAGAGAAAGAGACTGGCTTGATATTCTCTCTGAATACCTAGTTATTGTACCTCTGCTCATTATTCGCTATACATAATCTATTGTAATCTCTCATATATAAAAGAAACAGTAGACGTAGAGTTCATTTTAGGTATCTGAACCACTTTAAAAATCATATATCTCATTTATTATTCAGTCTTTATATTTAATCATAATTATACATGTATAATTTCTAAGAATAATTTAATATTTTGTATATATGAGTCGCCAGTGTCAAAGTAATAATATTGTTATAGTTAAAAGGGATTCGAAAAATCACCTGAAGAAAAACAAACAAACAAACGTTTGAAGTGACGAGAAATTAAAATGTGAAAGGGAGTAGTTAATCTAAGGTGTGGAAATATTGGGCACAAAAGCGAGACCCACACCTACGCGTAGACCTACACCTACACCACCAACAGCAGCTGTAGGCCTCAACCCGAAACGTCAAATTTCCAGGAATAACAATCACGTGCACACCATGCAATGTATCAAACCTAAACCTCCGCAGGAACTAATCATTCAAATCAAACCACCACTGGGTCCATCACCTCATTACCACTAACAAATTCCCATTCACTAAAATACTAAATTCTAATTATTTAAATCAAATAATTACCTTTCTTAACAACAAATAATCCCTTGTTAATTACATTATAATCATATTTTTTGAATATAGCATGATCTAGTCTTAATACAGTTATTATTTTAAACATTGTTCATTTCAAATTATTTATATATTTCAATATAACTTTATTGGATAATTATATAAATTATGTAAAAATATATTGTAGTAATGAATGTAAAAAAAAAAAAAAAAAAAAAAGAAGGGAAAACGTGTTTAACACATAATAAAAAGGAGTAGCTTCACAGTTGAATTGTGAAGTGTGATGGAGTTTGAAGGGAAGTAGAAATTGGATGGAGTGGGTCCAAAGTGAATTGACAGACGGGGAGATCAAGCGAATGAAATTGAATAAAGATAAAAGCATCTGAAATAGGAAAAGTTGACGTCACATAGGTATGGCCTCCCTCACTTCACAATCTTCAAGAAAATTAATTTAAATAAAATCTAATTCTATGTTGGATAAAACTTTCCGAATATATACGCTTGTGTTATCACTTATGACTATGTACATATTCTAATTCTATGTTAATAACATTCTGCGATTGGTTAATTATTCCGATAATTTTTCTTTAATTTTCATGATTCGCTTGTTTGGTTGTTAAGTAATAAAATATTTTGATAATTTTTTAATACAAATATTATTTACTATTGATAAAATATGAGATAATCAAATTACAATCTTAAGAGATGTTATTAAAATATTACTGCAGTAATCTGAAATTTATACTTATTTTGCCTTAATTAAATATCATTTCAAACACATTTACCTCAAATCTTTATCAAATAACAATTAATTCAATTATGCGAAATGACCTCATAAATTCATTTCTTTGACAAAAATGCCCCTCATTTTACATAAAATTTATCTTAATTTCGTTACAATTTTACCGGTAAGAACTTTTTTTTTTTTTGGACAATAATGTCCATGATCTAAAAACTATTTACATAACACCCCAGCCTCCCAAGACAATTGTCGGTCACCGAAATGACGCACAGCCTACTAGATCTGGCCAATCGTGTGGCGGCCGGCACTTGTCTTGGGTGGTCGGGGTTATTTTGTCAAATTTTAATTTTTTTTGTGGTTGGAATGTTTTAACTAGATTTTTAAATAAAATAATCTTTCAAGTAATCTATTTCAGTAATAATATTGGGTGCGTTTAGTTTATTATTTTGGATAGGATTTTAGGGATAGTATTGGATAATTAAATATGGGAGTATTACGAGATAAAATTTAAAAATTTATAAAAACCCCTTAAGTTTGCTAATTTAATAAATACCCCCAACATGTAAAATGACAAAAATACCCCCATCACCTGCAGTGCCAGCATCTGGTCAGAAAATCGTGTTACAACACAGACCGGTCGGATCTGTATCGTAACGCGTTGTTATGGCCTTTTCCGGCCAGATCGACCACAGATCTGGCTGGAAAAGGCCAGATCTACGGCCTGCTGTGGCCGTCGCGGCCAGAAAAGGCCAAAACGACGGCCAAAGAAATGGCCGTCATTTTCGGTCAACGATGGCCAAGATTTGGCCGTCGTCCGTCGTTGACGGCCAGATCGATGAATTACCGGCCAGTTCCAATCGGTAATTCACCGTTGTGTCAGATTCTGGCTACCACCAATGGTGGTTGTCGGAATCTGGTAAGTATGGGTCACGGTGGTGTTTTTATTAATTTTTAAACTTTTTTTAGGGGGTATTTAATGAAATTAATAACTTTATGGGGTCTAAAAATAATTAAAAAATAGGATAATATTTTTGGAATAATGTGCCAAACATTATTTAATGTGCCAAACATTATTTGGAGAATAGAATTGAGAGTATGGATAATAATAATAAGCCAAACATGCCCAATTTTTTTCAGTAATAAAACATCATTCTCAAATTTTTTTGTGGAAAACCACGTTGCCTATACTATGTATACAAATATGATGCTATATATTATATGTAATTTCATAGATAGGGCAAGAATTAAGAGAAAGTATTACATGTGGGTGTCCGTCATGGCACACTAGATTGTGAAGATGTTAGGTTTCACCTAGAAAAGGAAATGAGAAATCCAAGCATCTAGTCGAACTCAAAGAACATTGTTATATATATATAATTTATTAGATGTAGTCGAGAGATAGCTTTTGGCTTAAGAGTTTAGTTTTTATCATAATGAACCTTAAAATCTTCAATCTATGCTCCTCTTGTTGATCAATTTTGTCTAGAGTTTTCCAGGCCTGTAATGTGCTTCCCCGAGTATAATAAATCCAAGTTTTAAGGAGCCTGTCATTTTCTATTTTTCTTGTATTTTAATTAGATGTGTACGCAAGAATACCTGGAATATTTCTTCAAAATTTGCATGATATTTATCGTAAAAACTAACCACTCAGTTTGAAGTGAAATTTTAATGTAGCTTCCATGCAGTCCGGAGCTTTGAAACTTCAATCTACAAT